CACGACTATATGCTTTCTTCTTTATTTATATAAAGAAGAAAACATATAATCACAAAGACAAAAATACTTATATCTCACGATCTACTAGGCCAATTTTAATGTTTTAACCGCCATTTTGATCGCAAGACACTTATCTACAACATTACTTAAGTGTTAAAAGGTTTACTTAGTAAAGAAAAAAGGTTTGGTTGAAAAACTCCAAATTCAGAAATTTTAAAAAAATTTAGTAAACATATTTTTACTGTTTACTATGTTTTGTCACTAAACCTAAACTGAACATGAACCTGACTTAAAAGTTCAATACTGAACCTGAACTGAACATGAACCTGGCTTAAAAGTTCAATACTGAATCTGAACTGAACATGAATCTGACTTAAAAGTTCAATACTGAACCTGATTGAACTGAACTTGACCAAAGTTCAGTTCAGTTCAGGTTCATAGGAACACTAGGTACTAGCACCTTTGTTGACTGCTACTTTTGCAGAATTACCAGTTCCTGTAATATACAAAACAAATTGGTAAAGTTTTCTTTTTTTAATCTTATATTTGATTTGCAAATTTTTAATTTCTTCATCTTTAATTAGGAGAGAAATTGAGAGTTCTTTGAGTAAGGCTTGTAAAAAATTTCATGAAAATAAACCAAACTTCATGTTATGCATAAAAATCAGAGACAAAGAACTAGAATTGGTTAATATAGAAACAGAAATAGATTGGCGAAAACAAATATCTGACTATAATAGATTAGCACATGGTGATAAAGATGCTTTCAAGGACTTTGTCATTAATGGAAGTATAAAGAAATTTGAATTCGAAGAATTAATAAAAGTTTTTTGTCTGAACATTAAAGGCAAGTTATAGAAATATTAATATTTTCTTTATAAAATTTTTTATTTGTTATTTATATTAGAACAGTATTTATCAATTCATGCTTTTTCCAAAACAAAAGAAGGATACTATCATTTTATTAAAGTATATCAGATTGAGATTTCTATTTTTGAAAGCAAGCCTGAAGTAGTATTTGAAATAATGTAATTGTTATTAGAGCTATGAGTATAATTGATATTCTTTTTATTTTCACTTGGATTTATTACTTTTGAACTTTTATTTATATAGAAATTTGTAATATTTAAGACTGCTGTTATTTCAACAGTTAGGATTGGATCTTAGTGAAATATAGATTGTTTGTATTTGTTGTTTCTATATTAATGCTTCGTTTTCTTTTACCTAAAGATAGATACGGTTTAGTTTGGTTAGTTTGGTTTAAAAAATTATAAGTTTGAAACCATGATTTTGTTAGTTTAAATA